CAAGATAATTTGAACACAGGGAACTTCCCAGAAAATCATACTCCAACCAAGGACTATTCGTGGAGATGACCTGGAACCCCTGCACAGGTGTAGCCCATGGCAGTTCAGTGTCCAAGTGGGTTACATAGTAATGGGAAGAGGGACTGCCTCTGACATAATCTGATTGGCCTGTTTGTTGATCACTTCCTCCTGAGGGGGGAGCAGCCTTACCAGGCCACAGTAGAGGACAATGCAGCCACTTTTGATGAGAACTGATAGACTAAGATCAGAAAGAAGAGGAGAACCTCCCCTATCAGTGGACTTGGGGAGTGGCATGCATGCAGAGGGTGGGATCGGGAGGGGAGGAGGGACTGGCTTATGGGGGGATACAAATTGAATAAAGTGTAATTAATAATAAAATAAAAAAGCTGCAATTAATTATTCTCTTGTGTGGGTTGAGTTCTTATAAGTAAATATGCATTTCTTAAAATTAAAAAAGAAGAGTATTGGTATAACGACGCTTCTATACATTTTTTTCTTTTTTAAAAAATCAATCTGGCGCTATCTCAGACAATTAGGAATAGCACTTCTTCAAGATCCAGCTATACCATTCGTAGGCATATATCCAAAAGATGCTGAAATACACAACAAGGACATTTGTTCAACCTTGTTTGTAGCAGCTTTATTTTTAACAGCCAGAACCTGGAAACAACCCAGATGCCCCGCAACTGAGAAATGGATACAGAAATTATGGTAAGTCTACACAATGGCATATTACTCAGCAATAAAAAAAAACTAGGAAGTCATGAAATTTGCAGGCAAATGGTGGGAACTGGAAAAGATCATACTTAGTGAGGTATCCCAGAAGCAGAAAGACACACAGGCTATATACTCACTCATAAGTGGATATTAGATATATAATATAGGATAAACATACTAAAATATGTACACCTGAAGAAACTAATCAAGAAAGAGAACTCCAGCTAAAATGCTCAATCCCCATTCAGAAAGGCAAAGACAATGGACGTGAGAATAGGGAGAAAACAGGGAACAGGACAGGAGCCTGCCACAGCGGGCCTCTGAAAGGATCTACCCTACAGGGTATCAAAACAGATGCTGAGATTTATAGCCAAACTTTGGGCAGAGAGCAGGGAATCTTATGAAAGAAGAGGGAGATAGTAAAACCTGGAGAGGACAGGAGCTCCACAAAGAGAGCAACAGAATCAAAAACTCTGGGCACAGTGGTCTTTTTTGAGATTGATACTCCAACCAAGGACCATTCATGGAGATAATCTAGAACCCCTGCATAAATGTAGCCCATGGCAGTTCAGTGTCCAAGTGGGTTTAACAGTAATGGGAACAGGGACTTTCTCTGACATGAACTGATTGGCCTGCTCTTCGACCACCTCCCCTTGAGGGGGGAGCAGCCTTACCAAGCCAAAGAGGAAGACAATGCAGCCACACCTGATGAGACCTGATAGACTAGGATCAGAAGGAAGGAGAGAAAGACCTCCCCTATCAATGGACTTGGGGAGGGGCATGGGTGGAGAAAGAAGAGAGAGGGTGGGGCTGGGAGGGGAGGATGGAGGAGTTTTACGGGGATACAAAGTGAATAAAGTGTAATTAATAAAAATTTAAAAAATAAATGATAAAAAAACAAATAAAGCTGCTACAAACATGGTTAAAAATTATTTATTTATTTATTACTGTTTATTCATTTTGGATCCTAGTTGTAACCCCTTCTTTGGTCCCCTACTAATCTCACCCTCCCTCCATCATCTCCTTCCATGCCCCTTTCCATGTCCACTGATAGGGGAGTTCCTCCTCCCCTTCCATCTGACCCTAGTCTATCAGGTCTCATCAGGACTGGCTTCATTGTCTTAATCTTTGGCCTGGTAAGGCTGCTTTCCCCTAAGGGGGAGGTGAGCAAAGAGTCAGCCACTGAATTCATGTCAGAAGCAGTCTCTGTTCCCCTCTCAAGGGAAACCCACTTGGACACTGAACTGCCATGGGCTACATCTCTGCAGGGGTTCAGAAATAATTTGGAAAGCCCAACCAAACAGTAGTTTAAATAATTGTTGTAGTACTCTATTGTCAGGAAACATATTCTAGTTGACTTAGTTATTTTCTACTGCTGTGACAAAACAATAAGCAGGGCAACATGAAAAAATTGTTAGACCAAAGGTTTACAGGGTTTAGAGTCCATGATGATAGAGTGAGACACTGTGCCAGGAACATCTGAGACTGCATAGATCATAACTGACAGTAGGAGGCAGTGAGGAGGCATACTAGAAATTATGAAAAACCTCTTAATTAATTAATTAAATAATTAATTAATCTACTCATTTATTTTTATTCACTATACATCCTTGTTGTAGTCTCCTCCCTCCTTCCCTTCCAGTCCCACCCACTGTCCCTACTCCTGCCCTTTTCTGCAGAAAAGAGGAGCTCCCTTTCCCATCCAGCTCAGCTCATCAAGTTGCATGTGGCCTGGCAAGGCAGTCCCGACAAAATAAATAAATAAATAAATAAATAAATAAATAAACAAACAAACAAACAAACAAATGAATGAATGAATAAATGAATAAATGAATAGATAAATAGATAGATAAATAAATAAATAAATAAATAAATAAATACAGAAATAAAAATAAATAAAAATAAAAGTGATCGAAAAGCTGGCAAGTGTGTTCATGTCCAATGGGGTTTCCACTTCCCTTACTGGAGGACCCACATGATGCCTAAACTGCCCATCTGCTACTCCTTTATAGGAGGCCTTGGTCCAGTTAATATATTTATTGGTTCTTGATTGATGCTTCAGTCTCAGCAAGCCCCTCTGGGCCCTGGTTTTTGGCTCTATTGGTCTTCTTGTGGAGCTCCTGTTACCTCCTGGTCATTTTTTCTTTCCTCCACTTTTTCACAAGACTCCCAATAAATCACCCAATGTTTGGCTGTGAGTCTCTGCTTCTGTGTTGAGGCACTGCTGGATAGCGCCTCTCAGAAGACAATTCTGTCAGGCTCTGTCTGCAAGCTTAGCAGAGTATCCTTCATAGCGTCAGGGGTTGGCACTCCAATAGGGTAGGTCTTTGGTTAGGCCAGACATTGGTTGGCATTCCCTCAATCTCTGCTCTATCTTTATCACTGTACATCTCATAGGCAGGGTAAACTTTAGGTTGAGGTTTTTGTGGGTGGGTTGGTGTCTCCCTCCTTCTGCTAGGAGACTAGTCTAGGTAGTTGGTATCCTCTTCAGTCTCTATGGCTTCTGCTACTAGAAGTCTCTGCTGAGTGTCCCTCATATCCTCCCACGAGCCTACCCTGACTTAGGTCTCCAGCTTATCACAGATATGTCCCCACTCTCAGTTTATCTTTTCTTTACAGTCCTTCTCACCCTTGCTCTCCCCAGGTTTGTTCTCCATCCTCTTAACACTCTGTGCCCTCTGTCCCACCTTGCTCCTTCTCTTCAGGTACTATCTCTGTTCATCCTATCTCCCTTTTGAAGTGAGATTTTTGTATACTCCCTTGAATCCTCTATGTTGTCATCTTCTTTGAGTCTGTGCACTGTAGCATGCTTATCCAGTACTATATAGCTTAAATCCAGTTGTGTGTACATGTAATGTGTGTCTCTCTGGACCTGGGTGAACTCACTCGGATGATATTTTCTAAGTCCATCCATTTGCCTGCATATTTCATGATTTCTTTGTTTTAAATAGCTGAGTACTATTCCATTGTGTAGAAGTGCCACCACAATTTCTTCATCCATTCTTCAGTTGAGGGACATCTAAGTTCTTTTTCGATTCTGCTTTTTGTGAATAAAGCTGCTATGAACATAGTTGAACAATTGCCCTTGTTGTACGGGGTGGTGTCTTTAGAGAATATACACAAGAGAGGTATAGTTAGGTCTTGAGGTAAAGCTGTTCCCAATTTTCTGAAAAAGTGTCAGTTTGATTTCCAAAGTGGCTGTACAAGTTTACACTTACACCAACAATGGAAGAGTGTTTCCCTTTCTCTACACCCTTGCTAGCACGTGCTGTTGCTTGAAAAACAAGGAAATCATGAAATTTGGAGGCAAATGGTGGGAACTGGAAAAGATCATCCTGAGTGAGGTATCCCAGAAGCAGAAAGACACACATGATATATATTCACTTATAAGTGGATATTAGATAGATAATATAGGATAAACGTACTAAAATATGTACACCTAAAGATGCTAATCAGGAAGGAGGACTCTGGCTAAGATGCTCAATCCCCATTCAGAAAGGCAAAGAGGATGGACATCAGAAGAGGGAGAAAATAGAGAACAGGACAGGAGCCTGCCACAGAGGGCCTCTGAAAGGATCTACCCTACAGGGTATCAAAGCAGATGCTGAGACTTATAGCCAAACTTTGGGCAGAGCACAGGGAATTTTATGAAAGAAGGGGGAGATAGTAAGCCCTGGAGAGGACAGGAGCTCCACAAAGAGAGCTACAGAACCAAAAACTCTGGGCACAGTGGTCTTTTCTGAGACTGAAACTCCAACCAAGGATCATTGATGGAGATAACCTAGAACCCCTGCACAGATGTAGCCCATGGAAGTTCAGTGTCCAAGTGGGTTCCATAGTAATGGGAAAAGGGACTGTCTTTGACATAAACTGATTGGCGTGCTCTTCGACCACCTCCCCCTGAGTGGGGAGCAGCCTTACCAGGCTACAGAGGAATACAATGCAGCCACACCTGATGAAACCTGATAGAATAAGATCTGAAGGAAAGAGAGCAAGAACTCCCTTATCAGTGGACTTGGGGAGGGGCATGGGTGGAGAAGGGGACAGAGGATGGAATTGGGAGAGGAGGAGAAAGAGAGCTACGGGGGGGGGGATACAAAGTGAATAAACTCTAATTAAATATAAAAAAATAGATAGATAGATAAATAGATAAATAGATAGATAGATAAATAAATAAATAGATAGACAAATAAATAAATAAATAAATAAATAAATAAATAAATAAATAAATAAATAAATAAATGAAAAGAGATTTCGATCTTAAAAGTATTGTTCACACATGATTTGTGTGTCATCCTTGCTCAGGGGCCATGCTAATCTTCTCTGTATTGTTCCAATTTTAGTATATGTGCTGCCAAAGTTAGCATGAAGCAAGTCTTCTGAAACCTCAAAATCACTGTAACAAACTCCAACAAGGCCATAGAACCTAATTCTTTCCAAATATTTCCATCAACTGGGGACCAAATATTAAAACATATGAGCCGTTGGTACCATTTTCATTCAGACCACCATAGCACTGAACTGGGCAAAACTACATCTGTCTTTTAAATTACTTCTGATGTCCTTTAAGAACATGCTATCAGTGTGTAAGCACCATGTAGAGAAATGGTTTTGATTTAAGCACTGGCATGTCTCATGTTTGCTGTAGCATTTTAACCTCTACTTTAATAAAATCCAAAGTAATCAAATTATTTCTCAAAGGGGGGATATTTAAACTGTGTAAAGACTGTAGTTACTTTAGAACTACAATGGCAATTAAAACCGTTATAGTTCAGTTTTAAGAAACTGAGTTCAGGATGAGAAATACTCTAATCATTAAAGATATAAAAACTCAATAAAGATGGTTCAAGGAACCTAGAGTAAAATCAGTAATTTTTTTACCACCAGTGTCTTTTAGGTTACTATCATTTTCTCTTTGGAAGTATTTCTAAGGAATTTTCAAATACTAGGAAGAATTTTATTCTTCCATTGTTGTGATTAAAAATAAAATAAATAATTAGTCATCTAGGAAAGCTCAAAGAGGTGGTGATTTGCTCACTCTAGTTATTTCATGTGTCCCTAGACATCAAACCAGTTTCATATAAACATTGTAACTCCTGATAGGAACAGCACAAGTGCTAGCTAAGCAACTAGAAAGACACAGATTCTTGATCGAAGTCTTTTACTAAGGTACTCATTAACAAAGCCATTATATGACTTGAATGTTACAAATCTGTGATAATTGTTTTGTTTTGTTTGGTTTGTTTTTTTTTTCTTTTTTTAGATTTATAGGAAGAAGAGGAGGAAGAATTGTAGGCACCAGAGACATCAAAAACACCCCAATAACATGGAGCACAGAATGAACTAACCATGGCTCACAGGGGCTCACAGTGACTGACAAGAAAGTCAGGGAGCCTGAATGAGTCTAAGCTAGGTCCTCTGCATATATACCATGGATGTTTAGCTTTGAGTTCTTGTGGGACTCATAACAATGAGCTTGTGGGTGTCTCTGACTCTTTTCTCTGCTCCTAGGACCCTTTTCCTTTCACTGGGTTGCCTTGTCCACCCTTGATATGAGGGCTTGTGCCTAGTATTATTGTAATTTATTATGCTATGTTTGGTTGATATCCCTGGAAGGCCAGATTTTTTTTTT